TATCCTGAAGACGCATATAATCTTCCACAGCACTAATATCGTCTTCCTGGTGGATGAAAAACCGATGAATTACTTTTGACGTATCCAATGCCTGCTGAGAAATCGGGGCTGGTTCTGACTTTGCTTCCACTTCCGGGTCACTGTTTTCTTTTTACATGAACTGCTTGTAACATATCCTCGTCAGAAAGTCCAGATGTTTTAGTTACATTTTCATCAACTTCTTCTAAATCTGTTAGTTCTTTCTGTTCAAACTGTCTGACCCAAACAGCTAAGGCAGTCAATCCTTGATCTTTCAACCATCCTGCGTGTTTGAAGGAATGTTTTATCGTATTGCTCGTCACCTCGTCCCAGAATTTACAAATCAATAGGATGGCGTCAACAACGTTTAGTTTGAGATGACCATTGTTCTCAACCAATTCCATCAAAAGTCTTCTCCTGTAATGGCTTTTCAAACTCTTGATGACACTTTGGTCCATGGGCTGAGCAGAAACAAAGTTCAATGTTTTAAAGGTTGCACAGTACTTACAGGATGAGCAGGAAAATTGTATGCAAGCAGAAGAAATTTTTTTCCTTTAAACTCGACATCGCATTTTCTTATCGTTTTTTTTTTAAATTCCGAAATCAACTACGCGCTCTTGTTTGCTTTGTAGGTGGCAAGTAGATTTTTGATGTTTTTAAAGCAACGTGTGTTGTTTTCGACTTTCCTATCACTAAAAATGTTGTCTTCACTGAACCTGTCATTAGTAGAGAGCTTTCCATCAACGCATTTTTCCGATTTAAATTCTGTTTGGGGTCATTAAAAAAAATGATCCAGTCTCATCTGCATTGAAAATGTCGTCTGACGCATATCGTGCTTTCAGTCCAGACCATACGGTTTCTAGCTAATCAACCATTAGGTTTTTGTTAACATCACAGCCTCTCCGCAGATCAGTCCGTCTCAGATGCCTTGAAATTCTCAATTCCAAGCTCACTTGCAAAAAAACTCAGTTTTTGTCCTGACCACAGGCCCAGAAAATGAAATATGGTTCATACGCTGCTGCTGGAACCACTGAAGCATAGCGGGATCTAAATCTTCGTGCTGAGGTTTCCACAACTTCTTCCTGTTACCGCCCTCCATTTCCACTTCAGGACACTTTTTTCTATCCTTTTATATCGTAGCCACAGTTGACTGAAACACCGCCGTACGGCAACGACATTCGATTGCTTTTCACCTTTCTCTATTGCCCGAGATATCAATAACTTTTCTTCCACCGAGAGTGCTTTGCGATTTTTCGAAAACATGTTGACTGTTCACACAGACACATAACTGAAAATGTAAATGGGAAGTCATCAATAGATGACAATTACAATATCTGTGTGAAATAGATAGACACGCCGCGCGAATAATAAAAGCGTCTCAGTCATCCCTTGGATAACAATGAGTAGGAGGGGTGGCCACATTCCTTAAGCATGAAACAAAACAACCGCTGGACAATAACCTTTCCACAAGTGACTCAGGTAGTCTGGGCTTTAAACATAATAGCACATTTGCCAAAAACTGAAATGTCATCACCATAAAGAGAGAATAATATGGGTATAGAGAAAGAATTAATACATTGTCCTTATGATGAACCAAACAACGAAACAAGGTTTACTATTTTACTATTTTCATAGATACAGGGGAATTATCATTAAATAGGGAGTGAATAGTGACTACTTTATATATATCTAATCTACTTACTTAATACAATCGATATAGTAAATGTATAATGAGATATAGTAATCTTTTAGATAACGTTTTATTTAAATATAGTTCTCTATAGTTTAGATTGCTGTTATGTTTCATTAATAATAAAATAAACCATGAAATATGATATGTGCTTATATTTAACATTTCATGTTAATAAGGTGATGAATTGATATTCATTTTGATTCACTTCTAATCTAGAAGGTTCATGGTTCGAGCACTGCTCTACTCAAAAATTTTTCAAGCATAAAAATGTACAATAAACCCAAGTACAAAATTTATAAAGTGCCTAAGAAAATGTAGGGCTTATAGATGAAGATAAAAATTTATTAAGTCTATATGATTAGGTATCATCTACTAAATCACTGTATCAGATAGTGTCACATAATGTGCAAAGAATATACAAAAACTTACCTAGAAAATTATTCCTTTGTTGCTTGTAACTAAGGGTATATTACATTAGTAATAGAAGTATGTAAGTTTTTAAATATTCATATATAGCATTTAATCAAATCTTGAATGATATTAGCTACATCCAATTCTACTGTCTTATATGCATATAACAGATCTTTCATGTACCCTTAGTAAAAGACCAACGAATGAATCAAAAGGTAAATCAAAGACACCTGATCTTCAAGAACCCAAGCAGATCTAAAAGTTCTAAGAAAATTCTGTGACAAAGAGCGATCTAAAGAGTACTACAGACAACTTCTTTCTGCTAATCAGCCTGAGTTATCATCTGAGCCTGATGATGTTCTTGAAGATTAAAGCTATTTTTAGAAATCAGATTAACATTAGTCAGTAGTTTTTAGCATAATTTGTTCTTTTAATATGATGTAGAAATACCTTATGGAATAGTCATAGTCATAGTTATAGTCATAGTCATTCTTTATTGATCCTTTAAGACATTCAAAATAATGTATAGGATATGTCACTACAGAATTCAGTATAAAAAACATCATTCACTAGTGTCTCCTATAAAATATATAAAATAACACTTTTACAAGTAAAATATGAAGCTACTGCAGTTTTGTACTCAAGATATTCATTTATAGAATAATATGCTTTTCTTAAGTAACATTTTTTTTTTTTAATTTAGAGGAAAGTGGTATTTCTTTCACATTTTTTGGCAAATGATTGTATAAGGTCAGTCTCATATAACTAAAGCAGTTTTGAAATTTGGTTGGTCTGTATTTAGGAACTAGTAAAGATTGTCTGAATTTACTGGAAATGTATTAATTTCTTGAATGAGTTTGATGATTGTATTCTGTAATTGTAGCAAAATATGAGGCAAACGAATTAGCAATAACACAAGACTTGGTAATACTTTTATTATCATAATGTAGAATAATATAAGACCTGTTCTTTTGCCTACCAGTTTCACTGTTTACTAAATTTCAAATTGTTTTTGGTATATTGCAAGATTGATTAATTAAGTCACTATAAAAGTTTTTTTTTAGTATTTATTAATAGAGAATTATATTCTTTTTTTGCCTGTTTGTAGGTATCTTGAGCCTTGAGACTCCCTATATTTTGTGCTATCCAGTGTAGATTTTTTAGTTTTTCACTAGCTTGTCTTACCTCATTTGTTACCCATGTAGCCTTATTTGTTTTGTGTGCTTTATACTGTGTTTTTATTGGACAATATAAACTTAGATTGTAATCTAAAATGCTAACAAATGAATTTGTGGCATATTCAGCATTCAATTGTGAATAAACTTCATCAAAAACTGTAGAAGAAATCCCTGCTTTAAACATCAACATATTTTCATCTGACATATCCCTGTAACTGATGGGTTATTTTTGATACTTTATTGGCTTGCAAATTTACACTAAGTCAAAATAAAAAAATAGAATAAAAATAAAAATGTTTTGATCTATTCAGATGAAGAACCAACTCATTTTGTTTAAATAAAAAATAACTAACTATGAAATTAAAATACAATCATACCATTATTCTAGCTATTAAGAAAATCTACATATCGACCTAAATACTCAAAAATATTTAGCTAAAAAGGTAACAATGCGTAGGATTTTTATAGTTTCAAATTTTGTTTTCATTCTGCTCAAAAATATAGTCCTTGGGTTGCCTTTTCTCCAGTATACTTCATATGGAAAGGGCTTATCAGAAAAAGAATAGGAAATAAGTACAAAATGACAACACAAAACAACCAACACACTGAGATATATCCAGTTCAATATCAAACCCAACAGCACATAAATAAGATTGAAAAACTGCATCTACAAAATGCCCTGTGAATGCAACAACTTCTATGTGGAAGAAACCTGCCTTCATGCAAAACCTGCAAACATATCTAGAACAACTAGCACAAAGTATAATGGAAAGATGCATCAATAATCAAGAAAGAAACAGACATGAAAGCCAGAAAAGTCCAAGAAGTAGCTCTCATTCTACTTAATGAAGAAAAATGTGTAGCAAACCCATTAGCAGAATGTAGCAAGCTTGAGTTACCAATACTAAAAGAAGAAGTATCTTGTTTTACAGTGTGATTATGAGTTAATATTATGGGTCAAGAATGTTGAGATATCTTTAGGAACCTCCTATATGGATTAGAGATCTGGAGTCTTAAAGAAAACAACAAAAATTATTGAAACTTTTAAGATGTACTGTATTCATGGGGCATTACAGAATTATGGGTAGACAGAGTGACGAGCATAAAGTAATATGCTGTATTGGGAAAAAACTAGAAGTTGTATCAGTTATATAATAAAAGAAATCTTGAATATTTGGCTACTGTATTGAGAGGACCAAAATACATACTAGGAGAGGACAAAAGGGGGTATTCACAACATAACATGGAGCAAAATTGAAAGAAGAAGAATTTTACTTATACAAGAATCACATGGATGCTAAAGTTTGGAGAATAGTGTAATTAGAAGTAAATAATGTCCTTATAATAATGTACAAGTAGGTACAATGATTTCCAGTCTCCAATAGAAGCAGATCAACAAGAATGAGAGCTAAAGCTACAAACATTATGATTGTGTCCTGTGTTTCTCGAATATCAATGTAATTAAGGTTATTTAAGTACCTAATATAGTATAATTTTTATTAAATAATAATATAATCACTTTTGAAACAATTTACTGAAAAAAATCTCTTTTTATAATTCTTTAAAATTATAAAAATTCTTTGAAAAAATATTGCGTAATTATTCTGTAATTTAAATGTAAGATCTGCAACAAATCAGTTGTGACTTTTAACATTGTAATTGTCTTAATATCATTACAAAAAAAAATAAACAAAACTTACCTGTTAAACTGTCTTGTCTCATAATTGGATCAAATATCTCTATGACACTTTTTGAGGCACGTGGAGGTCTTTGAGGAGGAACTGGAGATAAAATTTGATGGTTTTCATATACACTGGGTTTCAGACTGGGAGGTCTTTCAGGTTTACTAACATTCAAATTTATATCAAGATTATCTATTTTCTTTTCAAGTTCTTTTAACGATTTTTCCAATTGATCAGCACAGGTAGTATATCCATTGTCTTTAGTCACACCATCATAGAGTCTCCAAGATTCTGATCTGCACAAAAAACTGGATTTATCTGCATTATTACTGGTTGGCTCGCCACTATAAGAATGACGAGGAAATATACTTTCATAATTGTCTGTTTTAGGTTTAAAATTGATAGAACTTCCAGAATTACTGCTAGAAGCAATTGACAATGGAGCATCATATAATGATTCATCTGGGGGAGGAGGTGGAGGATGACTTGGGGGAGGTAGAGCAATGGAGTTTTCATCAGAAGAAACAGAACTATGGTCACTTTCTACATTATTATAAATATTTTCTGTTGCAGACAGAGGTGAACTAAAAGTTATAGCACTAAATAAACTAATACTGTCCTCTTCACCTTTTTCAGGCTGCTGTATCTCCTCAGAAGCACTTTCACTTTGTGAACTTGAACTAAATCTTCTAGCAATTCTTCTAACACTTTGTCTAGTTCCTTCTATAACAGCTCTCTTTCTTTCTTGCACAAGTTGGCTGATATCATCAGCTAGCTGCTTTGATGCTGAACTTACCCTTTTTGTTAAGGTATTAGTATTTGTGGATTCTTCAACACTAGATAAACTTTCTGTAGAAGTTGGCTTACCAATTTCACTTCTTGATGGTGTAGGTGAACGACAATTTACATTTGTTTCTGGTAACTCTGGCAGTGCATATATAGTTTCTATAGTACTAGGAGTAGTTTCTGCAATTTGTTCCAAGTTACCTTTGATTATGCTTCTCCTTGGTGTAGGTATAGGCTTTTTCAATTCTCTTAGTTTTGGAATTGGACGAGTTGTGTTGCTGTCCATTTTCTGCGTTCAACATTTAATACTGGAAACTCTGCATCAGTAATAATTAGGATGTAACAATTACGTTTCACAATCGATAGATATGGGTTATTAAATTATCACAGACATGTTTTAAACAAAGAGCACAAACAAATGCTTAACGTATAAACTGCAAACAATCCGCGTGTTAAGTATAGGAATGCATTGCATTGTGCTTCTGAGAATGACTCATCTCTCAATTAACTGAATTAAATATCAAAGTACCACGAAATTCTAATTTCATACTCTCGTTTGTTTTCGGTTTTTATAACATTCTTATCTTCTGTTATCTCTTTAACTCAGTATTTTCTATAAACTGGTAAAACGTATTTTTAGACAAATTAACATCTGACATCTGCACTCAACAAGTGATCATAACAGAAATGAAATAAATAAATAAATAAAAATCTTTATTTTTTTTCTAAACTGAGGCAATTTCTACATTGATAGATATTTTAAAAATGCAACAATTAACTTTGAATTTTAAATTAAACAACTAGAATATATCAATTAATAAAAAAATAAATTAAAATTTTTAACATCTGAATTATCCGATTAAAGAAAAATTAAAAAATAATTAAGCATTTTAACATTAAGTTAAAAAAACGCAATAAACTGCCTTGAAGTCTTATGACAGTCGACTTGACAATTCTAATCTTGTTATGACAGTGACAGTGACAGTAATAATATAAACAATGTCCTTAATAATTATAGTAAGAAGTTGAAAAACAAAAATATATATAAATAAGTAGCATTTGATTTCAGGATGATTAAAAAATAATGTATACAGATAAAATATGTGTTAAGGAAACTGATCAATTAAAAAAATCTATCCACAATTTAAATAAATTTTATATTGACTCTGGATGTCCCTTAAAAGATTTGGAGCAATCTTTCAAAATATCATACAAAAGTATATTTCTTTTTATTTTTGTTAGCGCAACAATTTTGAGTATTCTTTTAAATGGAGAATATTGCATATTAGCTTTAAATTATATTTTTGGTGTAAGATGCATATTACCTAATAATTACTTTATTTGGGAAGCTACTAGACCAATATCCAATTGTAATTTTTGTTTAAATGTAACAGAACCTATAATATTGCCAAATGTAAGCAGAGATACATTTTTGCCATATAATTATGGTTCAAAACCTGTTGTGATAAAAGAGGCCTTTCTTCATTGGCCTGCCATGCATGTATTTTCTTTAGAATATTTTCAAAAACTGTACAATAATATAGAAGGATCAATCAGAAGTGTGAACGAGGAATGTCAATTCCTACATTTTAAGTCTGATTTTATATCTGTTAAAGATGTATTCTTAATGAGTGAAGAAAGATCTAGAAATGAACCCACTGAAAAGTCATGGTATGTTGGTTGGTAAGTTTTTTCTTTATAAAATTTCATTTTGTAAGTATTAAGAATAACACCAATAATAGGAATATCAATGTAAGTAGTATTTATGTGAACCATATCTAATGTTGTGAGTGTGAGTAATTTATGTATATTTGACAAATGTTTTTAAAAATGCTTTCTAATCCACTTAAAGTTCTTTTAAATTTAATTTTTTAGCAATGATCTTATTCGAATATCTTTAAAATTGTCTATTTTTAAGTAATGACATTTTTCTGCCATCTAATGTACTTAATATTGAACTATCTGGCCATGGTTCAAATGTTTATATCAAGTTTATTATTCCAAACTTTCCTGTTTAACCTTTTCTGCTTTGTTAACTATTTAAGTTGTTTTATTTTTAATATGTCTGTTCTTGTTTTGGACAAATATGCCATAATATCATTGCTGTAAGTAGACTCTTTAATTGTTTCTTGATTCAAATATTTTAAGACATATCAAATCATTAAAACACTCTGCTACAACTATATTATTTAATTGTTTAAGTTCTTCTAGGTAACATCTACTTACATTTTTAGATATAGTAATGTTCTATTTCTTACATCTCATTTTTCTTCTTTTCATGCCATATTAGGTCCTTCTAAAATTGGCAATTACATTAGCCAGTTATTTGTGCTTTTAAGGCTTTGAAATAGTTATTCAGTAATGTGTATTCCTATTCAATTGTGAATGTTCTTTAGCCATGACATCTGTTTTGTTCAAATTCCTCTGTGACCTTTGATTTTACCTATCATTAGAAGCTAAAAGATTCTGTATCAACCTCCTCTAAGAACATGCCTTAGATATGATATCTTTCTTATCTTAACAGTTTTAAATTATTCATAAACATATTTGCATTATAATACCCCTTTGTTGGTGTGCATAGCTGTTCAGGGAATTAAGGAGTATGGTTTTGTGCAATCACATCTAGAATGCTTGTGGGTGATTGATCATATCAGTCTTCAAAGGCAAGATCTGAATGTCATATACTAACACAGACCAAATATAACATTTGATAATTATTTAATACAATTTTAGGTTTAAGTTGTGGTTACAGAATGATTTTATTTTCAGAAACATCTGAGCTGTGTCATTTTTGTGCTTTATCTCTTTACTTGGGTTTAGTTGCTCTATAATTTAGCATATCAAAAGCTTATTTGTAATCGAAAAAATTAACTTAAATAAATATCTTTATATTGGTCAAGGCACTTTTGGAAAATTACTGGTACAAGGCACTGGTATTATTCCTTGTAAACCTAAGGTTTCATTCACATTAATTAGTTATTCTTTCATGAACTATACAAGGAACAATTTTCAATGTGTGGCTCATCAGACTAATTAATTTGTATTTGTGCCATCTTTATGTCTGTTATTTTTTCAGATATGCTATAAAACACATTTTAGCCATTTCTCAGGTATTTCACTAGTAATATATCATCAACTAGCCTCTAATGTCCACTGCTGAACATAGGCCTCTCGCATGCTTTTCAACTTCCACCAGTCCAATTTTGTGCCATCTGAATCCAATTTGTAGTCACTCTTTTTATGTCATCTGTTCGCCTCATTGGGGGTTGTCTCTATTTCCGTTAGCTTGTATTCGGGGGCTCCATTCCAAACTTCTTTTTGTCCACGGGTCATCAACTGATCTTGCTACATGACCTGCCCAGTTCCACTTTAGTGTTGTTATCCTTTCAATAACGTCTGCTACTCCTGATCTTTTGCGTATAGTAGCATTGGGTATTCTATCACATAGAGAAATACCTAACATTATTCTCTCCATTGTCCTTTTCGCATCTTGTAGTTTACTCACTGTTATTCTTGTGAGTGTTAGGGTTTCTGCGCCATAGTTCATCACTGGCAAAATAAACTGATTAAATACTTTTCTTTTCAGACACATTGGAATCTTAGACCTAAAAATATCCTTCATCTTTCCAAATGCAGCCCAAGTGAGGTTTATTTTTCTTTTCAGCTCGGTTGTTTGGTTGTCTTGACTTATTCTGATCTCATGACCCAAGTATTTATAGGAGTCAACTGGCTCAATATCTTTGTCTTCTACTGAGATATTTTTGTTGTGGACTAAATTTGTCATAAATTGTGTTTTTGACAAATTTATTTTAAGACCAACTCTTTTTGTGGCATTATGGAGTTCTTGGAGCATTATCTGTGCCTGATCAAAGCTGCATGCAATAAGAATGATATCATCTGCACATTTAAGGTTATTTAAAAATTTTCCATCTACATTGATGCTCTTTTTGTTCCAATCTATTGTTTTACAAGCGTATTCTAGTAATATATACATATAGTTAAAAAGCTTAACTAGTGCACAAATGTGGTCTTCTTAAATCATTTTTAAGAGTTAAGTTGAGATGTCTGGTTCAGGAGAAACTGGTTTTGGCTGATTTTATGGCCTGAAGAATTTAAGATTTTAAAATTTCAGGTTTCTTCTTCCTGATTTACATTACCCAGTATGTTTCACATGTTTCTTGTCATATTGAAATAATTACTGCAACATTTAAAAAAATAATTTTTACTTTTATATTTTTCTACAACTGCTCTTGGTTTTAAAAGGTAAAAAGTATTTTTTAGAGGAGATAAAGCATTCCCCACATAATTGGACTATTCTATAATAATGTCATAAAAAATATTTTAAGCTTCTTTAAAAGATTTTTAAAATAATTCATGTATTATGTTTTTATGTATATTAGGGGTAACTGCCACCCAACTATTCTTGAGGAGATGAGAAAACACTATCCAAAGCCCCACTTTTTACCAGAAGATAGTGAAATACCTTCAAAAGAATACATATTTATGGGATATGATGATGGTGCTACACTACATGTAAGTTGTAAAATTGTCTTTTTGATTAGGTATTTAATCTCTTAATAGTTGGTAATAATCAATACAACCCATGTTTAAATAGAGTGTATTTCTAATAATGTCTCACATGTATGACTTAAGTATTTAATAGATAGAAACTTCAGATTTAAGTAAAGCTTCATACCTGCAAAAAAACAATGCTTGTTTGTAAAATATTTGTATTATTAATAACATATTTTTATTAATTTTGTTTATGGATGTTGGCAATACTTCATAATTCTATCTTTCTCATTGTATCGTCAACATTTAGTTTATTTAGAAATTAACGACATTGCAATTTAATTTTTCTCTCATTGCGTAGTTGGTAAACATTTAACTAATCTGGAGTGGTAACTTGCACTATCATTTAAAACAATCGTTCAGCTCAACTTTTAATAATTTTGGTCTCTCTGGTTTTGGTTTGGTTGAAGTTATACCGGTTGATTTTTCATCTTTTAACACTTTATTTATAGTCTACTTTCCATAATCAAGCTAGATCATCATACAAGCAGTAGGATAGGCTATATGTTGCGCATCACTAGCCTATTACGCCCCCAGCCCATCGTTAATATAATAAGTAAAATTATAATATCTTATATACTAAAACGCTAAGCCCTTTTCTTGTCCACCACTTTACTCAAAAACCATATTAGATAATTAAAATATTTTTTCGGAATATTATTAGTATTACGTATGAGATTGTCGAGATATACTTTTGGTACAAACATTCACTTCCGGTTTTGAGATGATCGGAAGTTAAAATTTAATTTAAGTTTTAGACCCCACAATGTATATATGGATCGAAAGGTCTCGTCGAGACGAATCTAAATATGTACTTCCGGTTGCGATCCGATACCGGAAGTGACCCGAAACGCGCTTATAAAACGTCAAGGTAGAGCAAATCTGACACCGGATTCGTGATCAGCATGCAAAATTAACTGCTAAATGATATCCATGTCGACATTTGATGAACTAAAAATTGCATTCCGGTTTTGAGGTCGACTTCAGGTTTCGTTTTTATTAAAAAGTAACAAGTAAAAGTTTACATAACTCCCGGTGCCAAGGAAATAGAGACATTGTAACAAAAAACATTGTTTTTAACGAAATATTTCGTGATATTTAATACACTTTTTACTTGCATTATTATTGATGAATGTTATGTATATTCTTGCTTATATTGTTTGTATTGATCTCTTAATTTTTCTCGCAAAATAAAAATTTCATTTAAAAAACTCGATGTCGAGTTGGTCCTCTAGTTATATATCTGTTTCTCTTGATAGCTGCTTTTTATGATAGGTAGGTATACTGAGACTCCATTTCTTTCGATTTCATGCTAAATGTGGAAAAATTTTCTTTATCAGTATTTGAATTTTGCCATCTTCTGAACTTATCTTATTTTCTTTGAATTTTGCCATCTTCTTAAATTATTTTCTTGTACTTCCTTTGCTGGAATTTCCTGTCAATTTGGTTTTTGTACCTTTTACCAGACTGTCTGGAATCTTTCTTAATTCTCCTGGATTGTGGTCGCTATAAATGTCTGTACCAGGCAAGAATGAAGTAAATTTGATTCCTGACATGTAAATAACCATCTGGAATGTTGCTTAAAAAATATTGGTTATTTAAGGGTTCTCAAAATTGTACCAGTATATTTCACCTGTTGTCTGTTGCGCCTAGACCAAATGTCTTCTATGTTTTTTTAATGCCCCTATGACCAAACATGTTCTGAGATAAAATAAGTATTATAAACGAAATTCTGATACTTAATTTGAAGGTTTGAGAGTTTTAGAAGGTAACTTAAGAATAATATTACATTAAAAATAGTATTATTCAATGCTCAATTAATTTTTTTAATTTATACAGAATATTGATATTAAAATGCACAGATTATGAATTTTGTTTCCCACAATTGACGTGATTTTAAGCTAAATAAGATAAGAGTCTATTTCTCATTGATTGTTTATATATTTGACTGAGTCAATCATTTGGTTGGCATTTGTATGACTCATCTGTACGCAATAGAAAAATAACATAATAAATTTCTATATTTTTATTGCTGTAAACTGCATTTTTGAATAGATTGTCACAAGTATTCTGAAAATAAGAAAATAATATAACTACACTTTAATATACACTGCTAAATGCAATTAGTTACTAGCTAAATAAACAATAGTATTAAAATTAAAGGAAAGATCACTACGAAACTTGCTGACAGAGACAAGACAAGAATACCTAGCGAACTCCCCAACACAGTCAGTACATATACAAGGAGAGGAAGCGAGGGTAGAAATCGAAACAGTAAGGAAGGCTGTAATGACCCTAAAGAATGGTAAATCTGCTGGACCTGAGGGAATCTATGCTGAAATGCTTAAGAATGGAACTCATAAACTATTTGAAAACTTAACTTATGTGTGATCAATCAGTGTCTAAAGGGGGACAAAAAGAATTGTAATAATTATAGAGGCATATCGGTAACCAGCACCCTGAGTAAACTGTAAGGACGAATTTTGAGAAATATGATCGAGGAAGAATATAAGCACAATGAAGAGGAAGAACAAAGCGGGTTCCGTGCAGGAAGATCGTGCACCGAGAACGTATTTTGTCTTAAACAAATAATAGAAAAAAAAGATCGGCTAAGAATCTAGAAACTCATATTACTTTTGTAGACCTTCAAAAAGCATATGACAACATCCCTTAACAAAATTGTGGATAACGTTGAAAAAGATCTAACATCAACCACACATTGATAAATGCTATACAAGAACTATATAGAGGACTCAAAGTCACAGATAAAAACAGGAAAATATCTAACGGAAGAATTCCTGGTTACAAAAGGCTTGCGACAGGGATGCTGTATCTCACCAACCTTATTCAAGATATATGTTGCAACAGCATTGGAAAGATGGAAAAGAAAGGTGCATAGGATGGGTATAGAGCTTAGCAATGAATGTATATATACACTTCAGTTTGCTGATGACCAGGTAGTACTAGCTTCTGACAGAGAAGACATGCAGTACATGTTTAGAAAACTGATAGAAGAATATAACGACTGGGGAATGAATGTCAGTACGACAAAAACCAAATATCTTTGTATTGGAAACGAGTCAGATAACATAGACCTCGAAAACGGACAACATATTTCCTGCTGTCAGAACTATGACTACTTGGGTGTTGCCTTTGACAATACAGGAACTGATAGACGGGAAATAGAAAAACGAATCACACAAGCAAAGAAAGTCTTAGGATGTCTCAATGGTATACTGTGGAGTAAAGTGATAACGAAAGGAAGAACATTTAATATATATGAGACCATGACTAAAACTACTCTTCTTTATGGCGCTGAAACATGTAGAATTAGTGAAAAGAAAAAAAGCGAATAGAAACAGTAGAGATGGATGCAATAATAAGATCTTGAGGTATTTCCAGACGAGACCGAATCAGAAATGATGTAATAAAACAACGTATGGGAATAGAATAGAAGGAAATATAACTCAAGATATAGAGAAGAAACAATTAAGGTGGTATGGGCATGTTCAACGGATGCCAGCAACAAGACTCCCCAAAAAAGTATTAGAATGGCAACCGATAGGTGGACGGAAAAGAGGAAAGACCCAGATTAAAATGGCAACACGGCATAAACAGGTCCATGAGCGAAAGAAATTTAACAACAAACGACTGCGAAGATAGGAAGAGATGGTGTTTAGATATCGGACAACGTCGAAAGACGTTCTAAACCGATTTTTTTATTTACATTTACTGATATTTAAAATAGTAATGTAATTTCTTCTGGACATGATTATGTTATCACCATTTTGTTATTACCTATTATAGTTTTTTAATAAGTGCTTTTTATTTGTAGCTCGATTTTATAAACCGTTTAATGTGGCAAGCTCAATTAAAAGGAACAAAACGTTGGTATTTACATCCACCGCCAGAATGTGAAAGCATGTGTAAACCTTTGTCGTTTTATGTGGAACCCGGTGATGCAGGTTAGTACTTTTAACTATGTATTAAAAACTTTAGCAAATGTACTATAAAATTAGTATTTGAACTAGGCTATTTACAGATTTGCAGCTCCTAGCGGGCTTCGTCTACTGCTATTGAATTTGCGAGCTGGGTTCAGATTGTTTGACGATTCTGGGTGCACATACACACATAAAAGCAAATCCCCTCCAGAGGACATGAGTTCCCTAAGTAGGGTCTTCTCATGTTCGAAGATCAAAAAGATCAACCATAGATACCTCTCTTTCCCAATCGCAGATATGAGGCTTTACTTGCTATTTGATCTTGGATGTCCTCTGGAATGGGGTAACCTAGAGGCATTTCTGCGGCGATGTCCCTTTAGATCTCTAGAAAAAGTGTGCTTTGGTGACTGTATCTCCAGGATCACTGGGTTTTGTGTGCGGAATTTCGGGTGCAGTGGGAACAATTCCCGAAGTTCTATGCTCACAAACAGTTCTCATAAATGTATTAATTGAAGTCGAACAGCTTCTGATAGTTCTTCAAGGTCGTATATTGAGTAAAATTCATCGAAAGATAGTCAATTTTTCTACATATTTTAGACAGCGTGTCTGCTCATCGATCATCACCAATCCAGAGGGCATATCAGCGACATGGAAACAATATTGTGAAATGTTGTTTCATAATGACCATGAATCCAGAAGAAATAAATGACGAAAAGGAACTACATATTTTAAAATCGGAAATATAAACCACAATAAAAAAATTAAAAACTGGAAAATATCAAGGAGAAGACGGAATCACGGCGGAAGCACTTAAAGAAATGGGAGACATAGGAATTGAAGTCAGGATAAATTGCCAAACATAGAAGCACTCGAAATGAATCAAGAGGAATATCAACGTGAACTAAAAAAAAACTAGGACCTCTACCAGTATTCAATACGAAAGATATAAATGAAATAACACAAAAATTAACGTATGACATAACATCAACTGCAAAAAAGATCTGTGATAAAAATAAAAATCCCAGAAAAACGAAACTGAAACAAACAACACTTAATTTAATGGAAGAAAGAAGAAGAACATCGAAAGAATTACCAGAGTATAAAGCTATCAACAATAAAGTTAAAAAGAGCATAAGGTCAGACTTGCGGACTTATAAAACAAAACAAATATTGCAAACCATCGAAAACAATAGAAACATGAGAGTATTGAAATCAAATTTAACTAAAGGAAAATCAAAATAACTAAAATCAAAAAATCAACAGGGGAATACGGTGACGAAAAAACTCAAATAATCAAGGAAATACAAACGTTCTATAAGAATCTTTATACATCTACTATACAGAACCCCGAAACAGACCACAGAACAATTCTAAACGTCGGCTCGGAAACCCTCCCTAAAATAACCTCTTCGGAAATTAGAGATGCCTTACAGCAAATGAAAAACAAAAAAGCTCCTGGCGAGGATCGTGTATAACGTCCGAAATGTTAAAAATGGGCGGCAACATCGTTGTAGAAGTTGTGGAAGTCTTACTGAATAAGTGTCTAACAGAAAAAAGAATACCCAGCCTATGGGAAAATGCCGGAATAATACTTTTACACAAGAAAGGAGACACTACTAATATTGAAAACTACAGACCTATAAGTTTGTTGTCACACTTATACAAATTGTTAACAAGAATAATAACCAACCGCATAACACAAAAACTTGATTTATATCAACCGGTTGAACAGGCGGGATTTAGAAAAAGGTTTGGTACTAATGATCACTTACAAACCATCAGAACACTAGTAGAAAAAACCACAGAATAGATAGAGTACCTTTACATATGGCATTTATCGACTTTCACAAGGCTTTCGATAGTATTGAGACTTGGTCCTTTTTGTCAGCCCTGAAGGATGCTCGAATAGACTTACGGCACACTACACTCATTAAAAACATTTATAAACAGGCCACATTCCACATCAAAATCAATGAAGACGAAAAAACTGAAAAAATGCGCCTTGATAAAGGTATTAGACAAGGTGATACTATTTCACCAAAGCTTTTTACCTTAGCATTGGAAAATGTATTCAAACAGCTTGACTGGGAGGAAAAAGGTCTAAACATTGATGGTGTACGTTTGAGTCATTTGAGGTTTGCGGATGACATAGTATTATTTAGTACAGATATCAAGGAACTGGAGCAAATGTTGAAGGAATTAAACCAGCAGTCAAATAAAATAGGTCTCAAAATGAACCTTCAGAAAACAAAAATAATGAGTAATTTACAAACTAATCTTGTTATTGACAACGTCAGTCTTGAAAATGTAGACCACTATATATATCTTGGACATACCATTAAAATCGGCAAAGAAAATCAAATAGCCGAAATAAAAAGACGCATACAACTGTCTTGGGGAGCTTTCGGCAAATTAAGCTTTATTTTGAAGAATAAAGATATACCAATGTGTCTAAAACGTAGAGTTTATGACAAATGTATCTTGCCTGTAACTACATATGGACTGGAGACCATGGCCTTCACAAAGAAAACCTTAGAGCAGCTCAGTACAACCCAAAGAGCAATGGAGAGGGCCATGCTAGGGATTAGTTTGAGAGACAGGATTCGAAATAACGTCATTCGTGAAAGAACAAAAATTACTGATGTCTCAGAACGTATTGCAAGGCTCAAGTGGCAATGGGTCGGACACGTTGCCCGAGATAATCCCGAAAAATGGACACAAAGATTAACAAACTGGAGACCAAGAGAGAACAGGCGAGGAGTAGGCAGACCGCAGAAGAGGTGGACAGACGATATCAAACAAGTCGCGGGCAAGCAGTGGATGAGAATTGCCAAAAGTAGAAATCGATGGAAGCAAATGGAAGAGGCCTATGTCCAGCAGTGGACGAACACAGGCTGAAGAAGAAGAAGAAGAAGGAATTGAAGTAATGTTCAAACTGTGTAATGAAATCTGGAACACAGGACAATGGCCAGATGATTGGTGTAAGCTCACTTTCATACCTATTTATAAGAAAAGCTCACCAACTGACTGTAATAACTACCGCACTATAGCCCAGATCTCTCATGCAAGTAAAGTTCTGCTAACTATAATTAACAAGAGATTAAAATCAATATTTCTACCACAGATCCTACAAACACAAATGTGGATTTGTCCCGAGAACAAATTCTCAATCTCAGACACATTATAGAAAGATCTAGATAATTTAATCTAAAAACATATTTGTGCTTCATCGACTAGTCGAAAGCGTTTGATAATGTAAAGTGGCATACAATGTGGGGAATACTGAGAGAAATGGGTACCCCCGAACATCTTATATAACTACTGAAACAATTGTATATCAACAACACATCAAACGTAAGAGTGAACAACATATACTCCGATAATTTTGCCGGTGTTCGTCAAGGATGTATGGTTTCTCCCACGTTATTCAATATATATATATATATATATATATATATATCTATATATATATATATATATATATATATATATGTATTATATATATTATATATATATATATATATATATATATATTATATATATATTATGCTGGAAGAAACTGTCTCTTTGTACTTACTATGAGGATGAAAAACTTATTTCAAATGTAACACTCTTATAAATCATTTTTATTTTTCTCTTATTTCCATAAACTAACGTATATTTGTTTTTTAGTACTAGTAGACACCAGAGTTTGGTACCACGGAACCACTATAAAACCTGGAGAGTTTAGTCTTTCTGTACAATCCGAATATGGATAATTTACTTCAATATATTTATTATCAGTACCTGGAAACATGAAACTAAGCCAAATAACCATAATACAAAAGGCTGGTGTGCCTATCAAGTAAAATGTATTTATCTTACAATTGGTATTTTAGACAATAGTTTTTAAAATATCATTTACACTATAGATAGGAGAATTTTCAGATTTTGTTGCTATATGTGTTGCTATATAGAACGGTTAGAAGTGTTACCTTATTCCGAAAATACTTAATTTATAATATAAACATGTACTTAATTTATCAAGCCTATTAGCTTTAGTTTGTTCAACGGTTTTATGAAGAGGAGAAAAGAGACACAGTAGCTACCATTGTTCGTTGTTTGATGTACCAGTTTATCAATGTATTGCGAGTATATCCATTTCGTATGTATAACGAAAGTGAGTTTATTTTTTCAGGTATTGCATCTATTCAACTGCCAGCAGTACAAAAGGTAGCCTATTCTTTAAATTTATCGTGAGGTATTTCGTTTGAGACAAGTTTTTATAATTTTTTTTTTCATTTCTCTGTAAGCTTTGTAAGCTAACTTGGTAGCCATGATCGGATTTTTCATGTGTTAAACATGTGTTTTAATTTAATTTATTTATCCTCCTTTCTCTTTCTTATTAATTTGTAATTTGCTTGTCAGTCTTATGATAGTATCATCTTCCTCTTGAGTGTCTTATCCGGTCTGGGATGATCATCAGTGACATTATGGTTTTGTTGACTAAAACAGTTCAGCGGAGTTCATTGCAAACCATTGTCGGAGGTTTTTTAGTCACGAGAAACGATTCCGTCCCGGTCCGCTTTTCTCAAATACTTTGCTTTGCCTGATGAGTTACAGAATTCGATATTGACGGAAGCCTAGACACTAACTCCTTGCGTCAGTGTCTAGACTTCCACTCAGTATAGTAGTACCGGAAGAACGTACCACCTCACTATCCGCATCTTGGTCTCCAAACTCAGGTCACTACAGCACAGTAAGGATCTCATCTTGGTAAATGTGGATCGTGCAATTTCGATCTTGGACCTAATTTTTTCAGCGTGGTCCCATGTTCTAAAGCCGCTTTCACCTCATTAGTATTGACGGGTCGGTCAGGCAATTAATTTTTGGAAAGTTACCTCGGTAGTCCTGGAAAATATCTTCGATGTACACTTTCCAGATGACCATCTTCTTTCCTATCTTCCAGGTTCCTATCTTTGTCCATGAAGAGGGTTGTGCGTCTCCTCGTGTATTGACTAGTGGCTTCTCGAATCTTTCGGTGGATGTTTATATGGTCGTGTTTCATTTGGAACTCCTCGAATAATTTATATATTTCTTGCATCCATATCTACTTGGCTCTCCTGAATTCTTTCTAGATTGTTGTGTTGATTACTTAGTATTTCCTCGTGTTCTTGTTCTTAAATAATCTCTTTTGGCCTGCAGGATGGCATCAGTCATCCATTCTTTATTATTTACTCTTATTCTATTTCTCAGATGTTCTTTTCGCGCTTTCAGCACTACTTTGATATAACTAAATTTTTGTTCTATACTATTTTCTTGCTTTGTAGCGGATTTCTAGCTTTTCTCTCATTGTATACCTTACGTTCTGATGAACCTTAGGGTTCTTCAGGGTATCATAATCCCGGTTCTTTTTCGGTTTACTCTTGAAGAGTTTTTTTAGTTTGAGTTATATCTGGCCCATCAATGGATTGTGGTCTGATGAGACGTTTGCTACGGTAATCTTTTTCAGAAGCTATTCGAGTGGTTCAGTTGCTCAGTGGTACAGCTGGGTGCACTGTGTAGAGCTAGTAAGTGTAGGGTAAACATGTTCTATAAACATAGTAGACTAAAACTCGGAAATAATTTCTGATGAACACTCCAAACAAGTTATCGAATGCTCGACATCGCCAAATTCGAGGCGATTCCTAAACAAGGAAGCACTGAATGATAACATATAGGAAAATATATTAATGTAGGTAGACTTTTATCAAAGAAAATTAAAAAAGAAATACCTTTTTTGGTAGATATTTTACGATTGAGCTTAATTATTGCTGATTTGGCTTGGATATTCAGGTACAAAATTTCATTTATTTTTATCACGAGAGGGGGTAAAATGATTCTAAAAAATAATAAATATTAATAACGAAACCTTTGAATAATTAGTGAAACAGTTATTACCGGATTACCGTTCTAGAGTAGCATCACCTACAATGACAATTTCTTGACAGTCTCCTAATAAATACCTTAGCAATAATGTCAGCTAAAGTTACCTATATTGTTTTTATTTGTTTCGGTTTTACCTATTCTGATCTAGTCACTACTACACTATACAATAATAGTTTAGAGTTAAATAAAATTTGAACTATAAGTGTTACCTAGTAACATGCTTTTCTGTCATTTCCTGGTAAATACATTGCATGTCATCTATTTTATTAAAATTGGGTTATAAATAATTGTTTTTCTTTAAATTTAATTGTTTGATAAATAAATTTGATTTTATTGATAATACAGTAGACTCCCTCTATAACGAGAACTAAAATGGCAGACTAATTACCTCGTTATGAGACGATCTCGTTATATCAGACAACAATAATCCTGTGCATACATAATAATATGTAGTTTTCTAAAACATTAACTTCCTCTAGTGAGGCCATTCGGAGCAATATAAGATGCTAAATATTGTTTGAATAGCGGTTTTGAAAAAAAGTTGTTTATGAACAACTTAATAAGATAATAAAATAAGACAATAAAAAATACTATACAAGACACTGCAAGAAAATTTAATATAATAATACAATACATATAATGCAATATTTATAAGTATTTAAAAATGACAATATACATAACGTATAGTCGGCACGTAATTTCGTGAGAAAATTTACAGAGACCAAACCAAGCAAAATACTAGTAAAATGGCAACGCTGTTAGAATTACCACTACTGTATTGTAGTACATAGTAGTAGAACAGTAGCGTAGATATCTAATATTAAATTAAATAAAAGTTTTTACTTTTATTTAATTTTATTTACCAAAACGTTTCATTTTCTATAAAGTTTAAATAAAAAAATATCGGTGTTTTTAACTTCTGTGATATATCTTGGGAGTGATAACACTAATCGACTCGACTGAATAGAACTTATTGTAAAATAATAATATCTATATAACATTGTTAATAATAGTAGTTATTCAGCGAGAATGACAGTGACAGTTTCAATTGACATCCTTCCATAAAACATTAATAATTTTTGTCCTATCAAGAAGTGTGTTTATACCCTGTTTTCAAAGATATATAAGCAAAATAAGAATATCTACAATTAAATTAGAAATAAAGGTTTCAACTAACACCTAAAAGTACTTACTGTCTACTCAGAATCACTGTTATCATTAGTATCACTCGTATCATCTAAATTTATAGGTTTTTGGTTAATGCTGGTAAATATTTAACATAGTCATTTTCCACTCCGATCACATGTTTTATTTTTATTACATTTTTCCAGTTGGTTGCTGTAATTTTTGTGACTTCTCTTCTAATTAACTGGAGAACAGTAGACAAAAAATTTTGGAGCAACGTTTCTTCTCATTATATTTCCTTTAAGTTGAGCCCGAATTAACTCTATTGGGTTCAATGTACAATAATAAGGAGGAAGTCTAAACACAGTATGCCCGTTACTACGAGCACAGTTGTCAACAACATATTACTTTTCTTACTGTTTTACTATGAACAACCTCCAACAATTGCTTTTTAATATAAGATGTCTCAAAATACAAATCTTCCGTAAATAAAAAAACCTGAATTTTTAATTTATTCAAAAATTCAGTTTTTTGGTAGATATTCCATATATTATTATTATATTATTATATTTAATGATTCAAAAACTTTCCATATCGTCATGATAATCAGAGACGCGTTTTTAATTTGTTTTGCAGATATTAATAATGCATCGTCGACCCATCCATTTTCTCCACCGCAGTGTAAAATTATAATCCTCTTTCTTTTATTGGGCGGTACTGAGTTGAAACACTTTTTGTTATTATTTGTCCAACTTTTTTTCCACGGTGTCATGTGTATCATACCAGGTCTCATCTAAATAAACAACATTTCGTTTCATTTTTCGATACTCAGTTATCTGTCTGATATAATTGTTTCTTAAAGAAATTATTCTAGTACTTTCCATTAATGTCTGTCTCTTGTCTATAGTTTTGTACTTAAAATTATTGGCTTTAAGAAATAATCAAAGTGTTGTTGCTGAACACGAGAGAATGCACTTTAGAACTAATTCACTTCGAAGGCTTTCAATAGTTGGAAAAATATTAGCCGCATACATTGGTATATTGTTTTAGTTATAGATTCAATTAAGTGCGGTTCTATTTTTCTGAATTTGCCACAATCCTTTCTCTTCTGTCCAGAAGAAGATGTTTCTCCTATAATTTTGTAGCAGGTTGCTTTGGGCACTCTGGTTAAAAAACATGTTTCTGCAATTGCCTCTGATTTAGACAATTCAGCACACAGTCCTTCATATACATTTTTTAGCATACGTTTGGCATCATCACAAAGGTATTGAAAATGTCGCTTACGTTTTACTACACGCCTTTGTAAATCTTCCAATCGATTAGAGGGTTCCATTGTCTCTTCAGCTACATAATTATTATCGCACCACGGGCGCAATATTTTAAAATTATTAAACGTATAAAAACATAATCACGTAAAAACGTATTAAAAAAAGTAAAAAACGTAAAATATAAAATGTTTTCCGTATAAAGCACACTGAAAAAAGTCACTACCAAACTAACTTGCATTTCACTATTTGAAATTTGAATTTAACTGAACGCTGTAGCAGTTATGATTTTACGAAGAATATTCTTGTCTCCCAAAAATCTGTTTGTCATATCCGCAATTTAAAAATAAAATATAAAAATTTGCCTACCTAAGTTTTACCCGTCCCGTGCCTTCGGCACTGGACGGTCAAAACCTGATCCCTTATTTTATGACTCCGTAAGCTCAGTCAAATACTGATAT